ATAAAACTGCAACCCAACGAAATTATACTTTCAGAAAAGTTACCAGCACAAAAAGCGACAAAAAGAAGAGGAAACAGACCATACAGCCATTTTGAGTCTGTATATACAGTTTTTAAAGATGGGTATAGTTCCCGTTTATTGACTACTAACGATGGACGATATATCAGGTGATTATCCAACGGAAAACCCGTACGAATACCAGAGTAAACAGCAGGAATATCATCGGGGTTTCCCCACTCTAAATCAACTCCAAATGTGAGAAAGTTTGAAGCGTAACGCGTAACAGAAATGCTCAACGCCATAAGCGACAGCACCTACCCACTAAGACAGCAGTAGCATTAATATTTGGATCCGGGGAACAAATGCCAATGACATTTTCTGGCGTTGTTAACTCGGAAAGCGTTGATGAGTCAAGCTCATGAAGCTGTGGTTTCATTGCATTTGATGAGCACACCAATAATGATTTCTTCTGATTTTTTAGAAAAATCAACCTGACACCATTGGAGCAATCTTCATGGCCGCTCTGTCTGCATTCTTTTTCATCCGTCGAAGAAACCGTTAATTCAAACTTCGCAAACTTAAAATTAGTATAATAGTCAACAAAAATAAATTCCTTCAGAATAATTCAGAGAGCTGCTCACAAAATAACCAAGTGAAACAGCTCATAACCAATTCCATACTTCCTGCACTTAATATATCGACTTTTTTCTAAGATTACTCTTTACTCCACCCCCGAGTTTGAAAAACTGAAGAAAGAACCAGAAAAGGTTTCCCGAAAACTTAACCAACCTTAATGAAATGAGTCTATACGCAAGTACAGGAAAAACACTAAAATGATTGGCTATTCAAGCAATTCTTTGAAACTCTATTTTGAGCAGATAGTGTCTGCGCAAGACGTTTGCAACTGACTAAAGGAGGAATCAGAAGCAAATACCTCAAACTTTTCCACTTTGGTAAAGTACAAAAAAAAGAATATCCTTTTGGCTTTCCGTCCTAAAGAATCTAACGTGACTACACGCAATCAAAAGTCCTATTTCACTATGCTATTAGTGAGAGATGTCTAGCAAAGATTTACTCTGAATTCACCGACAAACTACAACTAAAGATATTCAACTTTCAAAAAAGACAGAAAAAAACGTAACCAAATGAGGAGTTATGTACGTACTGTTTCGCAGCCTCTAAGCCTCAACTTCAAAAAACTTGTAACAAGAACGACTAGAAGCTAATAATATTTTTAATTAACAAATCTGTATTGACACAAATGTTTGAGCTGAGGCCGCAAACTGGCATAACGCTGAAAACATTGAGGTGCTGTATCTTTTTACTTTAAACCAACTCATTCTAGTTTTCACAACTTCCAAGCTCGTGGTGATCCTAAAAGGGAACTTGCACCTAGAAACAGAAAATTTTGTGCAAAATAATTTTTTAGGAAAGCATAGTTATTACTTTTCGTGTACTAACCCCGTCAAGCTATCTATTTTATAAAACCTAGTCACCCTGACCCAGTGTTTTTCAGAACTTCCTTGCTCACTGTTTCCTCTCTTAGGAGAAATTTTGCCTCAAACTTTTGCTGAATCATTTGTCCTTCCAAAGTTCATCCCAAAGACGCCTGGCTAAATGACCGCCAGTGCCCGTTTCCGCGAAATTTGCTTTTAACTTTATTAAGCTAAGAGTGAACGCGAACTACTTACTTAGCCACCTATTGACACAAAACTTTCAGTAAAAGAAAACAGCTTTCTCAAGCTACTCTCAGTAAAGCGCCCTCAATTTTTGCTATAGCTTTCGAGACAAACTTTGACCCTCAGAATATTCAATTACCACCTTGAGCTTTCACAGACCTATAAAGCCTCATAATCTTCTATCGCCTTCAGAGTTCTAATATGCAATATAAGTTCAAACTACTGTACAGCAACAAAACATGATCATGAAACTAGAAGAAACCGTTTATTGCAAAGATGCTTAGCTACGTCTACGGATAAAAAAATTTAAAGATTTGAAATACACTCCAGTCACAGAAAACGTTAGAAAATCTTTGTAGTTTGAAAAAAGCAAAACTTAACGAGAAGCTAACTAGTGGTAAATTTTTCTTCAGCAAAACGAATTTAAATCGAATTTGAAGTCGGCTTATATTAACTAGCATAATTTGAAAAAAAAAAACCTGAGACGTCAACGGCGAAAAAGTATGCGACCGGGCACAATACAGTCGCGATACAAATCTAACAATCAAAAAACTAATTTTTATTAATCTCTATAACAAAGGAATATTTCTCCTTTCCTCTAAAAGGAAAACGGCCTCAAATCTTTTCACAAAAATCAACTACTCCCTAAGACATCCTTTATTACTTGAGTCACTCCAAAAGTACTTGCTGTGCACCACTGTCTACTTAAAAAAACCAATATGTCATTAAACCGTGACAACATCTTGAAAACTGAAACAAGCATTTCTTATCATTCACTTTTAAGCAACCGTAGCAAAGCAAGTAGCACCGATGTGGATGAAATACCCTATGACTTAAACGGAGCACACACTTATTGATTTACGTACTCGCCCTAAAAATAGTCAGTGCTTTCACTCAGAATAAAATTAACACAAGATCATGTAAATGTCTGAAGCCTGTTTACTTTTTCTTCTCAGCCAGAACACAAAAAGTTAATTGTGAAATAAAGTGTTTTTGTAACCTCTACGGTAAAGTGCATCTTCTCAAGAAATTTCTGGGAATAATTAAAAATTTGAAAGAAGTACTGTTGGACGCAAAATAGTGTAACCTGAAATGGAGCCTTTCAGTTTGGTGGCCCCTAATTTCAGCCAATCAAGCCAATGAATCCTAATCGTAATAAATGCAACTTTGTTCCATTACAAGCAAAGAGAAGATGGTACCACCAAACTGAAGAAGAGCCTTCAAAAGCTCTAAAACACTACTGAAAAGCATCCTATATAGCCAAATATTGGAAAATTGACAAAAGCAATTTTGTTCCTTGAAAAGAGTTAGAAATTTGAAATTACCAATCCGACAGTAACAGTGTCGTTTATGTTGTAGAGACTCAGTTTATATAAATAACCTTCAGCCCCAACATATAGTGATTCGGAATCTGAGTCGAGCAACATTCGTCGGTAAAAGTTCGATCCCTGCGAGAAAACATGGTCTGAAAAACTATATGCAACATTAGATTTTTCACATCAGTTGCAAGGAAATTACGACCTACAGTTCAGCAAAATTTGAAAAGAACCTAAGAACTTAGTCAACCGGCACAAGCTACTTGACATGCATTTTTTGATTTTGCTGTTTAAAAATAAAGCTCTATGGAAGATTTTTTTTTTCACTGAACAGTCGATACATTTTAAACCACTGAGGCACTCAAAGAAGTGAATAATAAAAATTGGCAAATTCACTCATCAATTCTTTCCATCATTCCACCTCTATTATGCCACAATTTCAGCACCATACCAAAAAAATTTCTACATGATTCTTAGTGTTCCAAAAGACAGTACCTGTCGGAATAAAATCAAAAGTTCTTTTTTTCTACGTTTTTCTATTCAGGTGTTTACATCCTATACCTTCTTACAAAAAAGCTTGATAGGGTTACTTTTCAGTAAAGTTAAGGACTTACAACACTTTTGAATGCAAATTTTTCCTCCAATAAAACTAACTCCTTCCCGAATTTTTGAGACTTGACCCTGCCCAAAAAAAGGTCTTTTTTGATGTTCTTGTTACCTTCACAGTAGTCAATTATCGGAAAAATGGAAAAAAATTAAGTTTGAATATCAATGAAAAAAAAATGCTCTTGTTTCAAAGAAGACAACGGGAATCAAAATAGATAACAACATATTAGAATGGTTCCATCAGTTCACGTGTAGATGCTCATCTGAAAAGAACTGAGCAAAAACAACCCATCTTCTTTCCTCTCTAAAGTAACTTACAGCTTCAACCAAAGTGAAGCAGTGCCAAGCAAAAAAGTTTGGGCAAAACATATCAGGGATTTTTCAAACTTTTGTAATTACATAAATGACAATATTACAAAATCTTTTAGTACTGCCTAAAAAGCTACTTTAAACTAACCCCCCCCCCCCTCGTACATAAGAACTCCTGCCCTTTTCCTCCGCACTTCGCATCATTTCATGAAAAAAAAATAACAAAAAGACACGCTAATTTCTAAGAACAATTTTTAATTTTAATCCCCTACTTCGTCCTCTTATACCGCATTTACAAGAGCTGTTCCAAACTCTACGTTTAAGTTATTCATCCCTTCTCACTCCTTTAATTACCAATTTCTCTCCAGTTTTTTCTCCTGGTAACTGGCATTGAAGTATTTGTTTCTTCTTAAAAGAAAAAAAACAAAAGTTCACAACAGGCAACCATTTTACTGAAGGATGCTGTACCGAACCATGGGTGCACAAAAAACGCACTTCAAACAGGCAAGCGTATTTTACTTTACTTTGCTTGAAAGTTACCTCCTTCTGACTCAGAAATGTGGTGAAATAGGTGTATTAAAAATATTACTAAACACGGAAGCTGAAAAAGCGTTTCTTCCAAAAAAAAAATAATAATATAAAGGTATATAAAAGATTTATGCTTTGAAAACGCATTTTTTGCACAATAAATTAAAATTTTGAAGCGGTGTCTTCGTGACTTCATGAATTACGGTAAAATTAGAGAGAGTTGACTGCAAAATCTGCAACTGACACAGCATTTTGGCGCTTACGTGAGTGACAGCATTCCTGTTCTAGCCGATTTTTCATTAAATATCGTAATATACACAGTGTACGAAAAAATGGTGCAGTTCCACTGCTTCAATAAAATAATTTAAGAATCTAGAACATTATGGACAAAAATTGTTATAAGAATTATTTTTCCGGTTTATATTGATTTACTTCCTTACCAAACTCTTCTAACCCAAATATTTCACACTCAGTACTAACTATTAACCGCGAGTCTTGTTTCGCAGTTATCATTCCAGCCTTTGCAGTAAAACGGAATACAAATTTTTCTACGCCTGGAAGTGGTGAACTTATACGAAAACAGTGCTAGAAGTCTCGTCCCTTTCATATAGATATGAATATTCCACCCAAGTGGTTTACTTCTCAGGCGTAAAGACTGTTGACAGTCAAAATTTGCCCATAAAACACCTTTTAAAGGCTCTCTTTTGCTGCTGGTCTTTCCAGTGCAACCCTTTCGTCATCACGTCAACTTTCCCACGTTACATCGTGAAAAAGTGCCATTCTGCCGCTACTCCAAAGTCTATACTACTGAAAATGAGATTCGGAAAATTCTTCGCGATTATTGCTTTGCATACGACGACGTTGAAAAAGTAGATAATGTTCTCCAAATTTTGCTAAAATGTCAAGGAACTTAAAATTTGTGCTGCAATGTATTTTCGGCTGCATTATTATGAGCAAGACAGTCCAATAAAGTGAGGCTGCACAAGGTAGTACGAGCAGCAGAATTTCTTTTTAATATACTGCAAAAGAGGGAATTTTGGCCTGCGTATTTTTCTGTTCTAACCCTTTCTGACATCTTGAAGCACCACTGCGAAATTTTCGACAAACGTCGCAAATTGATACACTACTGGAAAGACGATAGCAAAACAATACGAAAAGCCAACAACTGTAACTGGGAGTGACCAAACTGAATCAGAGGCACTCGATATGGAAATAAAGTGACACAAACTGGAAAAACTATCAACAATATAATTCTTGCGCAAAATTTTTTGTTTTTAAACTTACTTCAAAGGAAAAAATTGTCAACCAACTACTTGTTTTTGAAGTTGTAAAACTCAAGTATGTTCTTGTACACTGTACACATTACTATATTTAATGAAAGTTCAACTGAAACAGGAATTCAATCATTCACAACGGTGACAAAATGCTGCAGTTAGTTGCACATTTCTTGCAGTCTAACGTCACTAGCTGCTTCGTAACTAGTCACATCCAATGATATCACCCTCCAATTCTAACCTGTTGCGCAAAAATTACGCCCTCAAAAAACATAACCTTCTCAAAAAAAGTCTAAAACGTTGCTTTTTTTAAAGCAATATTTTGAACTTTTCTTATATTTCAATTTTTTATGGAAATTATTATACCATCCCACCACTTTTCTAGGCCTGCAAAAAACAAATTTAAAGAAAACAAAAATCCATCCTGAATAAACACAAATACAAGTCTCTAAAACAGACAATTCCCGCAAAAACTGCAATTTTTTTCAAACTGCAAAACCTTCGGTCTAACTTTGCTGCCAGCGCGCTTTTTAAGGCAGACTTTTTTAATTTCACAATTACATACCAAATACGAAAAGCTGAAAAAAAATGAAGAAAACCTCGGTCGACAGGAAAAATTGGATCACTTGGCATGGAAGAGCATAGCGATTTTAAAAGTGCGTACTAATCCATCGCTTCAGCCCAAGAATCAGAACAAAAACCCTCCAGAAAAAATTGAGCGCATTCAGACATTTCTCCGGGAACCCTGCCCACCGGGGTGGAAATGGAACCACCAGCATAAGCAAGGCGCTAGCGAGCAGCACCCTGCATGACCTAGCATGCAATCGAGCAAAGTACATTTGCTCTACCTGCCGACACACATCATGACTAAAGTCGGGCCTTCTAAACGATTCCTTTCATAAATATGACTGTTCAAGTGTCGATGGGTTAGCGCGAGAAGCTACAAGTGCTCAGCAGTTGATAACTGCACTTTACGAAGAAATAGGAAGAATGCATGTAGGCTGCTGTACACTGTCAAACCAGTAAAGAATGTGATGCATAAATAATTTAACTGATGTTGTGAAGCAGCAGGGCCATACGCGCGAAGAGGATCAGAGCACTCGAACAGTGCCGAACCGGGTTGGTTTATTTACCCAATCTCCGGCTGACCGAGAGTTGCTGATGTGTGCTTTGCAGACACGGAAGCAGCTTGAACTCCATGGCAATCAAAGAGCTTCCTCAGACCCTACACATTACCAAATGAATACCGGGACAATCAAGTGAAGAAAAATGACCTTGAATGAGGAACTAAAAAATGCAGTATTTTATCAAATGAGAAAACCGAGAAAGAATTACCACATCAAATGAGAATTGACGCTGCCTATAGTGAAACATGCGCTCCTTATCAATGTTTTTTTTGTCGTCGAGGTTGGAGAGGACGTCGCCCACCCTCTCTCTTTCTCCACCTTAAAGTGTCTTACTGTGGGTAGCAAGGTTTACCGTCTCCTTAACACCTCTCAGTATGCAAGAAATGTTCCCATACTTTTTGAAACTTATGTATAATTTTAACAAATGAAAACTGTGAAGCCTTTCCTAGAACTTTTCTTTAAAAAAAATAATCAAAAAAACGTCTCTTTTACCTCCTTTTCACTCTACATTACTCGTCCCTACTCTAACTGTTGTGACCGTGCTTGATTAGAGAGATGTGGCGCGTGCGCATTTGTAAATTATGAAAGCCTTTTCAAAAGGAAAAAAAGAAATGTTGAAAACAAAATAAAGGGGTAGTTTTTGTTACGCGCGAAGAAAGTGAAGCGCAATCAAATAAGGAGATGCTTTTTCGAACTGCAGCTGAGAAAACATTAACTTCAAAAACACCACCTTTTTTTTCAATAATGAAACTGTCTGCCCTCAAATTTCTTTACCTTTCCGGAAAGCACTTAAATTAATGATTCAAACAATATTTAAAAAAACAGTTTTAAAAGAAAAAACAAAGCAAATCTCGCAAGCCTAGAAAGAAACGTAAACTACAGCATACAAGAAACATTCAGTCACTCTGCGGCTTCGAAACTTTAAGCGCAACTTCCTTCTTGAATTCTGCACTAGAAAAATCCTTTTGAAAAAATGAAGATTTTTGAAATGCGAATCAAATAAAAGACTATAGACCCAGAAATTTGAAAAGATATTACTCCCCTACTAAAAGCTACACGAACTGCTTTGCTATACTGCGGTACTGCTCAAAATCTTGCCGCAATGAAAGAAACCAGAAGAAAAATTGTGACTTTCCTCACAAGGTTTTCTACGTTCTCATTCTGCAACGCTTGTCCACTTTGTGCCGATCCACAGAAAGTTTAGGTCTCATACCGGCTGCTGTCACACAACACGATACCCGTAATGGGGCCTCACAGATCTCATTTTCGAGCCTTTCAAAGAAGCCATGACACTAGTACAAGTAGGTAGTTCTGGCGGTAGTTGGATGCTCGGCACCCTAATGAACTTCCTTATGCTGGACTTCAATCATAGAAAATTCGTCTTAGAAAAAGGCGCTCAAAAGAAACAAACAAAGACCAGTATAATTTACATCTAATCACTTCTGCTTTATTGTTGTATTTCAGCAAAAAGCAAAACTTTAAATTCTTTTCTATGCAGCCAGAACTTTCCTCTTTTTTTTTTCTGATAACCAAACTCTCGTCTTATGGCGCCAATAAAGTGGCATATATTGCTATTTGTCATCTGTTTCTGTTAGAGGAGTTCCGTACGCAGTTTGGTATGGTACGGCAAACGCGTGCAGCAACGACTGCGCAAACTCTCGAATCTTCAAAGTGCACCAGCCTACCCGTTAATGCAGCTCGTAACTACCAGCAGGAACCGCGTTTCCCTAAGTCGAAAAATACGACACGCGCAGTTCAAGGAACATCTCGGAGCCGAAAAAAATTCTAGTGAACCGGATAAGATTTGCCTTCCGACAGGAACCAGCAGCAGAAAATTCAAGACACAAAAAATTACTTTTGTGAAACCGCAAAAATCTCAGCTGTCTTCATCAAAAATTTAGACAAAAATTTTGTTGTTAATATAATTAACTGCTTTCATCTCCAACAGTGCTCTCTTCCTCACCGCTAATCTATCTTCCTCTTCCTGTACACCACGTTCTAGACCCTGCAACAATCTCAAACATTTTTATTAGGCTGCTTCATATCTAATTTGCCGTGAAAAGTTTTGCAAGCAAAGATGCCTTGTTTTAGAGAAACTTTAAGGGCTTTAGCACTATGCCACTGTGCTGTACTAAGGCAGCCGGAGGTTATCCAACTGACCTCCGTAGAGGCGTCTTAAACTTTTGTGTCCCGTGCTCAAATGACGTAAAAATAAATTATCCACAAAAAAAAAGAAAAAATCGTTCGTTTCTTTTCATATTCTCGATAGAAGGAT